TAACTTTTCAAGTTATCCTGTACACAGATGGACAGACAAACAAACACACACACACACACACACACACACACACACACACACACACACACACACACACAAACACAAATATGCAGCATCTTGCTGCAAACATTGAAGGACCTAAGCTTGCTCAATAAGTACAGTCAGCTCTGCCCCTTCTTGTAGTAAGCTTCATGTCTTCAATCAAGTCTGTTGAACTGGTAAATACTGAGGCATTGCCATTCGCTCATCAAATTAACTTCTTGACCCATTATGGTAAATATTATTTAACTTGTTCCTGTTTCTTCTGAAGTCTACAATCAACACCCTAGTTTTATTCACATTTCGGATCAGATGATTTTTTTTCTTAGGCACAAAACAGTTAAAAGCTCCCTGTACACAGCTTCTTGTACGCCTTTGATAACCAGTCATCCGAACATTTCTGCAGATGATAGGAATCTGTCTTATACAGGAAGTCTGAGGTGTACAGTGTAAAATCGTATGGTCTGTACTGTCCTCTTTTATGCTCTTGTGCTGCTAATGACTTGGTTAGACCCTTCTGAATGTGTTAAATGCACTGGATAAATCAAAGAGCTTGATCACCATTTTCCCTTGTCAAAATGATGAGGATTTGTTAAGCAAGGTGTTTCTGTGCTTCTTCAACTCCAATTCGAAGGCGATAAGCATAGTGGACCCTGACTGTTGATTGCTTGCTTATTCAGGTGGGCCAACAGGAGTCTCTCTTGGACCTTCATAATTTGGGATGTACAGGCAGCTGGTCTATAATCAATTAGGACTGTTGACTTAGTTTTCTTTGGCAGCAGGTCTTCCACATTACTGGAACGTTTAACCTGATTTCCTGGATCAGGTTAAAGTTGTACAGGTGCAGTAGAAACCCACTTTACTCCTCTGGGCCTAACACAATTTGGACATGGTGCCTTATTCTGATTTAGTCTTTCCATTGTCCTCTTCACTCAACTTCTAGAGACAGACATCTGAAAGATAAATCAACAGAGACGAGCACCATCTTCTGATTTGGTTTATGACATCATAGAGGTGAAACGTAAAACATTTATAGAGCAAGGATGTGGGTAGAGATTTGGCTCAAAGCTTTTTTCTGTATGCATTATTGCTTTCTCTTAGCTTGACTTTTGGTTACTTTTTCATGCCCTCAATAATCCACTTTCCCCAATTTTTTTTCTTCTTTAGCAAGTCCTTCAGATCACTGGTTATCCCTGGTTTATTACTGAGGACGAACCTCACTGTTCTGGTGGGAATGGTGTTATCTACACAGATGTTTATATAGTCAGTCACACACCTATTGCACTGATGTCCTCTTCATGTGGCTGTCACAAAGTATCCTAGTCTATAGCCTCAAGAAAACATTGCAGGACTTTTTTTCTTATTAGATGTTATCTCTGGTGAAAGGGCTTACTCTAAGCAGAAGAAAATAATTTGAAATGTGTGATTTCCCAAGAGGTATTGCTTTAGAGATGTACAATATAAACTTAACAACAGTTGCATAAAAAAGTACAAAGATTGTTTTCTCTGACAGAGCATCTAAGTAAAGCTTGGTTTATTCTCAACGCATCATAACATCATTTTGGCAGACAGATCCGTGCGGAAAAATATGGCGAGCATATCTAGAGATCCTGTGAATTAGCTCATAAATATCATCACTATCAACAGATTGTATCACTTTTGGATGGCATGAAGTGGCTTTGAGAAAGTTGTAAATGACTTTGTTATTGAGTAGTGTGGTGTGGTCAGCTTGCAGCTTGTACTAAACATGCCCCCTTGGAGCCATCCAGAATTGTGAAAAAGCTGCATAGGCTATGAATGTTGCAGACACTGTGAAAAGGCGACTCAAACATGCCTCAAGCATAATGACACCTTAACTGTTGGAATTGTTGTGTAGCACAGAGTAAGGCATAGTTCAGAATATCCAATGATTGCCAACAGTTTGATATCTGGGCTCCAGAGACAAAACTTCCCAGTAACATCCTGGATAACACAACCGTTAACAAGTTCTCCCAACCCATGTTGCTTACTTTTTCAGCCATATTTAAATCCGTGTCTGCTCATGTGGCCAGAAAGCCCCACAGAGAGGCACTGAATTTGGGAGTGCAGCACTGTAGCCTTGTTTCAGTAAAACACATAATACTGCATCCTGATATTATCTGGGTACTAGCTAGGGCTTCAAGTTGGCCTAGCCTTTTTGCAAAAGATCTTCCATTGACTATCCTGACTGACAAAAGAGATGTCTTGAGTTTTCTGCTTCTTTCTCATCTCTGCTCCTTCGCTGCATCCTTGCCACTTCATTTAATTCTCTCATCTAGTATTTTTGGAAGTAGTTGAAGTATTAGTTCAGCTCCTCCCGGCTGTAAGAAACCAACTTGGCAGGGTTGCTATAGTTATGCATCATAATAATGTCCTAAAATGCAAGAAAAATATCAGCAAAAATCCCCTCTGCTTCAACAGATTGTTACCCTGACATCCCACATCCCACCAGAAGTGGAAAAAAACAACAACTAAAACTTCCACAGGGGAAGGGAAGTTTTAAAAACGAATATCAGAATCAAACCAGCATAATCTGACAGGAAGCCACCTAAGCAGCAAAATTCTAGAATAATGATGCAGCACATCTTGACACTGATTTTAAAATTAAGATTTAGATTTATTTTGATTATAAAACAATCCTATAGTAAATCATGATAATCTATAACAATTCAAATTAAAAGTTAAACCTATTAAATATTGTTTATTTAACATAAGATCTCTTTCTTCAAAAAGTTAATTAGTTAATAAATTGATTTGTGATAATCAAATTGATTTGAATTGCCTTACAGAAACTTGGCTGAAGCAAGAGGATTATGTGAGCATAAATGAGGTAAATCCCTCTAGTTATTTAAATTTTCACATACACAGAAATTCTGGGCGTGGAGGAGGAGTAGCAACAATCTTTCAGTTCGACTTACTGATTAATCCAAAGTCAGTTAATATTTCCAACTCTTTTGAACATTTAAGTGTTAGTTTCCCCCATCCAAATTGCAAAGCAACAAAACCTCTTATTTTTGTAACTTTGTATCATCCAGCAGGTCATTTCTCTGAATTTTTAGACAAGTTTTCTGAAACGATCTTGGCCCCTTTAGGCTGGGTTTTCTCCTTGTTGCTCTCCTCTGCTTTGCCCCGCCCTGCGCTCATTAGCTCTAATTACATCCGGCTGTTCCTGCTGCTATGTAAGCCTCCGGACCCCAGACTTTGGTGCCAGATTATTCTAGCTTCTCAGCGAGACTAACTCTAGCGTTCCCTGTATTTAGTTCTGTTGTTCCTCATCGGTTTCTGCCCACGGACTTTTGAGTTTTCGACTGCCCCTGTTTGCTCTGTTTGCCTTTTCCGTGTTTCTCTGGCTGATACCTGGATTCGACCTGCTGCTGACCTTGGACCTGTCTTCTGACCATGGCTTGGATTTACCCTCCCAGATCTTTCGGTTCCTATGTGTGCTCTGGCTGCTGAAGGATTCTGCTCCTCTTCTCTCCTTGATCTCTAGGTCAGTAAAAAGCAACAGAGTTCCACTTCTCTGGACTACACTCCTTAACATTTACAGGTTGGTGGCTTTCATGCTCATTATTATCCATTGATAGAGTTTTGAAGTCACTAACTTGAGCCTCTACTTTTGTAGAGTTTCCAGTGAGCTACAGCAGTAGAGGAGCAGCCGCACACACAATTAATAAACACCCTTTTGAATATATCACCTCCTGTTTTGCCTGAATGCTGGCTCCTATGTTCTTAGCCTTCTGACATTTTCAGTGTTTCTATCGTATTTGGTGCTGAATACTGACAGGGTCATCATAGTGGGGGATTTTACCATCCATGGTGACACTGAAGGTAATAGCTTAAGTGGAGCCTATAATAAATAAAAGTATTTTTTACAACCCTAACCTGTCATGATCTGCCCTGATAGCTGGCCACAATTGTTCATGTAATTCACCTACTTAACTCTGCCCGGTTCCTAATCACTCCTTATCCTATCCACCTGCGTTTCTGCTTTATATTCAGTTCAGCCCTAGCTATCAGGGCCAGATCATTGTTTTGTGTTATGTTTTCTGTTTGGTAATTTTTAGTTGGTTCCAAAATTTGTGTCATGGTTCCTGACAGCCAGCGGATTGAGAGGGTTTTCATGTCTGTCTTGTCTTCTGATCATGTCCTGGTCCTTCTCTACAGGGTCCTCAGGGTTTTGGCTCGGAACCCGGAGAAGGTCAGATTTATTCTTGTAAGCCTAGCTCCAAGGAGAAACCAGTTTAAAGTTTCTTGCAGAAATCCTGGTACCCAGTCTTGTCTCAGTTGCCCTTAACCACTGAGCCTGCCCATCTGCATCTGCGCGTGTCTGTCTGGGCACACTTCTGGACCTATTATGGCTCTGAACCTGCCTAAATGCTCTGAGGATTCCTTTAACCCAGAATCTATCTGTTCCTCTGTGGATTGGAACCCCGGTCGGACTACGGATCCCTGGATATTGAAACTGTTCATTTCTATGTATCCCTGTCCTGGATTTGATTCCTGCCTGCTCGCTGCTTGGGGTTGCTGCATCGCGGACACTCTGGGCAGCTTAGGGATGCATCTTATTGGCAGTGAATTGGCTGATTCTGCATATAATTCAGAGGATAGGCTACACTGTTAAACCAGGTAAGTGACTCATTCTGACAATCATCTCTTGTCAGATGAATTACCTCTCATTTGCCTGTGTTCTTCCCTCCAGAGTGTCAGTGATTTGGCAGTGGCCAGCCCCCTCCTGCAGCCAGCAGTTCCACAGCTCCTAACTTCTGTTCTGTTTGAGTTTTATTTAATAAATGTTTGGAACTTTCCTAATGACTGTCTCACCTTGAATACTGGGTGCATATATCCAGTTTTATGACACTGACCACTGTTTAATAACTTTTAGTATTACCGGTACTTTAACAGAGTTCCCTTCCCCCAAAAGAAGGTTTCCCTTTGGCAGATCATTATCTGTCCAGTTCACCAATTCAGTTTTAAATTTTTAAGAATCTGTTTAACTTTCTCTCTCCTCTGTGTTGCTGAGCAGTGCTGCAGAGGACAAATGTTTAGTTTATTCCCTTTCACAGGTTGAAGATTTTGTTGTTTGGGTTGCTAGTTATCTGCATAATGCCTCAGACAAAGTAGCCCCTTTTGAAAAAACAAAAACAAAAAAAAAAACGTTAATAAATAGAAAGCTGGCTCCCTGGTTTAATGAAGGGCTACCCTCAGCAGGACGTCTAAAGTAAAACGCTAGGAAACTTTGTCTGTAAAAAAGTTTACTAATGTATAACATTACATTTCGTAAAATAAGATCTGCATATTTTTCCTCAGATATATATACTCCTAATTGGTAGAATTATTCGACATCATGTGATTAATTTCCACTGTTATGCTGATCATACTTAGCTATACTTGTCTATAAATCCAGATGAAGCTAGCCCAATACATAGACTGCAGGTATGTCTTGAAGACATAAAAACCAGGATGACTCTTACCTTTCTTTTCCTGAATGCAGACTAAACAGAAGTTATAGTCTTTGGACCACAGTCTTCGAAAAAGAAGCTTATTAGTCAGTCACTTCATTTGGATGGGATTAGAATGATCTCAGATAATAATGTAAAAAAAAAAAAACTTGGAAATTATTTTTTGATCAGGACCTGTCATTTAAATCACATATCAAAGAGGTTTCTAGAATTTCCTCCTATCTGCAGAATATTGCAAAAATTAGAAATATCCTGTTCAGGGGTGATGCTAAGAAACTAGTTCATGCATTTCTTACTTCAAGGCTGGACTATTGTAATTAACTATCAGGAAGTCCACAAACTGGTTAAAAGTCTTCAGCTGATCCAAAATGCTGTAGCTGGAGTTCTGATTAAAAAAATTAAAAAGAGAAATCATATCTCCTAACCTTGCCACTCTGCATTAGCTTCCTGTTAATTTCAGAACAAAATTTTAAATCCTCCTTCTCAGATATAGAGTCTTAAGCGGCCAACTTCCATCTTATATCAGAGATTTGACTGTTCCCTAGGTTCCTAACAGAGCCCTTCGCTCTCAATCTGCAGGTTTACTAGTGGTTTTTAGAATGTCTAAAAGAAGAATGGGAGGCAAAGTTTTTGGCTATCAGGCTCCTCTCCTGTGGAACCAACTACCGCTTTTAGTCCATGAGGAAAAAAACGCTTAAAAAGTTCCTGTTTGATAAAGTATAGTTGGAGTGGCTCAGGTTATCCCGAGCTATCTCTATATGCTGCTATATGCTAAGACTGCTGGAGGACATGTGGACCCCTTTCCGTCATTCTGCTGAATTCTATCTTTATTCTCACACTCTGCAGTATTTGGTTGTTAAACCCCTACATTATGTTCTCTGCTTTTCCTCATAGTGGCTTCAACTGGTCTGCTCCTGTTTGGCTGTAACATCAACCTGGTGAAAAATATAATCTGTGAGGCTGCCAGATGTTGGAGTTTTGCCTGTTTTTCAGTGAAGTCCTGTTTCTCTGACTGTGACTAACTATATGTGCTTTCTTTCATCCTCTGACATGGGAGATTGCTCAGATCTCATCTGCCTGACTCTTTCTTTCAGGGACAGGTCCACCTGTAGAGCTGGTTGACAGCTACCTTTTGTATCTGCTTCTTTTTCTACATCTGCTTCTGTCACCTTGAACCGCAGTCGGCCTCGGCAGATGGCTGCTCACACTGAGCCTGGCTCTGCTAGATGTTTTCCTCTCCACTGTCTCCACCAAGCATGCTTGGTGTGAGGGATTGCCTTTGAGTCAATTAGACGATACAAGCAGCTGGTTTTCCTTAGACAGAAAACTTTAAACCAATCTGACTGTATAATCAGGTTGAATTTTCTCTGTAAAGTTCATTGAGATGACATGTGAATTGGCACTATATAAATAAACTGAACTGAATTGAATTCAATGGGCAGATGTACAGCCTGGACAGGTCACAAGTCCATCCTAGAGATTGGTGGACTTGCACATTTCCTTATCAATTAAGACAATGTAACACTGCAACCGTTCCATCTCACAAAAATGTTTTTTAGCAACTCAGGGAAATTTAATGCTATAGTTCTAGGTATTGAAGGAAGGAACGCTCCTAAATCTCTGCAATGTCTCCTAAATTGTATTCTGAATAACACAATGTAATGTGATGTACACGAGATGTACTGTTACATCTCTAAAAGTTAGGTAGGACAATGAGGCTACCTTGTTGCTTAGGCTGTCAAATAAAAACATAAGGACTAAACGACAATAATTGAGAATGTATCAACAGTTTCTCGAAGAAAAAAACAAACAAAAAAACTTTCCATCCCATATACTCCATGACTTTACTGATTATTATACTCTATGACTTTACTGATTATATGATATTACTGAGTATTAATAATTTTAGGAATATTCTTAATTCTGGTAAATCTCATGAATCAGTCTTGCATTGTCATCACAAAGTCTCTTTGAATGCCTCAATGCATGGTTTTTGTTTTTTTTTTTGCTTTTTTTTCTTTGCTGTTAATAATTCTGATTTAATCACCAATTTTCAGCAGAACACCACATATGTGTCAAGTTTTTGACTTGTTCCTTATATATTTAGCTACCTGTATCTCTGTAGTGCACTTATTTCCTTGCATTCTGTCTTAGAGTGGGTAAAAACTGAAAGGCTAAAAAAATGAATGCAGCAGTTCCATCTAAAGGTTGAAAGTAGGTACTACAACCAAAACCACAATAATCCATCTCTTTAAAACATTTAAAAATACTTTTATAACTACTTAAATATAATATTTGTTGGGCCTATAAAATGCAAATGAAGGGAAAATATAATGAGAGGAAAAAAAAATTATCTAAAATGTTCCAGCCAAAAGACCCTTTAAGGAATTTGTATTAGCATTAATTTAAAAGACCTGCATATCATTGACCAGAGGGGTCTCTCTAGCTTCTAGCCTCTTTGATGTTGCAGATCAAGATTTTTTTCCTTACCAACTTCAAGCAAGTGGTTTTAATGCATGAGAAGCAGGAAAACAAGTGTACCCATGCATAGATGCACAGTTACAGTGGTCTGCCCACAAAAGTGCATGCACTGCACACATTATAACACCGCACTGCTTGGTGTGGGATTTTCAGCTCTCTCCAGGCAAAATTAGGCAGTTTCCCATGAAGTTTGCAATAGTGACTTATTGTGGTTTCCAAAGGGCCTAAAAACTTTTCTGGAGAGGGCAAGTAGTCTGGCTTCAGAGAGATTCTTACCTTCATAACTAGATAAAACTTCATAATTACATAAGACTGACCTTTTCTTAAAAGCATGTCAGTATGTCAAATAAAGCTACAATATGTGAACAGCAGGAGTTCAGTGAGTTAAATGACATCCAAGGACACTTTTAAGATCATCTGCATAAATGAGATTACAGATAAAACAGGAAGTAAACAAAGAAAACTGTAACCTTGTCAACAACAGATACAATGTGACAGACAACAAGTGAGTGACACATGTTTTGGCTTTGACATGCCATACAGCTTAGCAAACAAGTTTTTGAGATTGAGACTCTAATAAGAAAAAATCCACATAAAAAAGTTTTAAATGTTACCTTTCTGTGTCTCTATAAATCAATTAGATGTTTTCAGAATCTGTTTACAAGTTTTCCAAATAGGCGCTGACAAGTCCTTTTAGTGAAGGTGTTGAAGCAGAAAGCAGAGTGACTTAATGCAATCTGAATTGACTGGAAACAATTTTCTCTTTTTCATTCTTACTTTATATTCTTTGTTTTTTTTATTCAGATTTACCATTACTGAAAACTATTCATTATTGTTGCTGGGCATATAATCTATCTATTTGAGTTGAAGAACAGCATCTGTACCAACCAAACGTATTTACTTACTATAGATTTCAAGTAACACATTTTCAAGTCACAAAGTTCAGTGTTGTAAAATGGTATACATGTAATTAGGTTTTGGCAATTTATTTTTTTTTTTAAATGGTCTATTTTTCCTGGAGTAGTTGCTAATTACATCTTGATTTAAACTAACTTGGTCTTGCTGATTATAACAGCCAATTTAACCAGACAGACTTCATTTTTGGCTCTTTTCTGTTCCTCTAATGTACAGTTATGGAGACTGTCATTGACACATCTTCAGAGAGAATACAACACATCACAGCTCATAAATACCTCATTAAAAAAAGAGAAAGGCCACATTAGACTTGCTTCTATCAATGTGTCTTAAAGGACATTTTGAATTATTTCATTAGAAAAGCCACATGCAACAGCAACATTTGAATCAACGTACTAGATTTGGAAAAAACTTTTACGCTCACTTCAGTTTTCTTTTTGTTTACTTGTTCAAAAAAGAACAAATGCACTTAAGATAATAATTTTATTGATCTCACATTTTAGAAATGTACCTTTGCAACTTAACCCATCCCCTTGGGGAGCAGTGGGCTGCCACCGTGCAGTGCCCTGGGAGCAGTGTGGGGTTAAGGGTCTTGCCCAGGAACCCAGAGTGCAGGCTGTGGAGATCGAACTTGGTACTCGCAACCTTCCCCGAGCACAAGCGCACTGCTCTAACCACTAGGCTAACATTCCCCTCCCAGGACAAGAAAACACATTTGTCCACCATCCTAAAAGCAAGCAGTAGAATCATACCTCTCTCTTGACATCTTTGAATTGCATGCAACATTGTTAATACTAACTGACAAGATAAAGTATGCCCAACTTTCCTGATTGCAACACATTCATTAAAACCTCAGCACATTACTGATCTGTAGCCTGTGCTATCTTTCTAACTTTACTTCCTGTTTATCACAGTATAGTGTAACCTAAACATAGGGTGATATTGTCATATTTTGCATCAATGGATGGAAACTTGTCTAAATACATTTTCATTTTGTCTTCAATATATTTAAGGCTTGCTCATGACACTTGGATGGAAACACAGCTATTGTTAAATGTGCTGCAGTGCATGCTGCAATACCTTTGGGAGTCTGTCTGACTTCTCATCTCTTGGATCAAACTGCGGTTTCTATTTAACCATAAAAGCTATGTATTCAAAAACAAGCCCTGTCCATCTAAATGCCACATGATAAAAATTATTTGGTAAAGCAGTAAGTTTTTTCTGTCCTTTTTAAGCAATCCTTTTTTTTAAAGAGTCACATGCACCAGCTACAAGTTCTCAGTATTCTATCTTTCAGCTGAAATAATCTTATTGGTTGTATCTTTTTCATGTTCAGCTGATCTTATCGAAGGAGACATTTGTGCTCTAAGTGCCCCCAAGTGGTCAAACAATTCATATTGTAGTTCAAGGTTAGTTTCACTTTCAGTTTAAAAGTGAAACATGCTGAGGTGAGGAAATCTGCAGTAGTTCAGACAGAGGGGGATAAAGGGAGATGCTGCAGTGGAGTAAATTTTAAAGTATATGTGATGTGTGGAAGCTACTTGGCCATATTGGGAACTTGGTCTAACTAAATATTCTCTCGTTGTCTTCCAATAAACTATCCTCCAGACTCAGAGTTCAGCTGATTCTCTCCCCTAAATTAATCCTCTATTGCTGCCATTAACTATTAATCTTTCTTCACCGTGACTTGGACACAATCACTGAAGAACCAGTCAACTCTGCAACTGTTTAGTTTTGAGTGGACCTTTTTTTTTAATCAACATCGTCACTGTCTCTGAGGACAGCAGAAATAAATATCCATTGTAATAATTTTGTATTCAGAGTTGGGGTTTAAATGTATGTTTTGGTTATGTGTTGAGGAGGTTTGTTAGTAATTAGTTTTCCGGTTGACCTTCAGGCTATCTCTGACTCATTTATTCAACAGAGGCAGAGAACTATGATCTAACCGGCGCCATAGCTGACTCCTCCAATATTTTATGTACAACTTTACTCCACTACTGATGCTCATGCCGTCTACAGCAGAAATACATCACATAAGGCAAGACAGAAATACATGCATATATGCCTGAAAAATGTTCTCCCATATTCAGAAAAATACTCCCAGAAGATTCTGCAGTTATGTGGTAAAGTATGCAGAAACTAGAACTCTGGATTACCAAACCTTTCTATTATATTGAGGAAAATTACAGATAAGTATATTGTTCATCTTTTGAAATAAATAGCAACATCTGTGGGGGAAAAAAAAGTTTTTTTTAGTCTATGATTAATTTTATAAAAAAACAAACAAAAAAAAAAACTTCCTTGAGTAACCTTTTGCTATCCGATTATTAATCGAAGAAATAATTGCCATTAATCTATTTGCAAATGAATCCAGCAAACTGATATTTCTGACATTATTTCCTGTATTAGCCTTAAATCAGGTGAAATGACAACTAAATTATATATATACCCAAAATCTTCTATGCAGTAGTAAGTCAAGAATGGGGACTCAAGATGAGCCAGAACAAGAAGAAGAGGAGGGAGAAGTGGAGAGATTGAGCATAACAAGCACACATAAAACCTGTCTCTTTCTTTTCCCCCTCCCCTCCCTCTCTGTCTCTCCCCTCACCAATACAGCAGCATTAGAAGCAGAGCTGCTCAACTGTTCCAAGATGTCAGAACAACAAAGCTCCCTTGAATGAGGGAATGTGGGGCCCAGGGCAGAGAGTGAGCCTGGAACAGCTGGCCCAGTCCTGGGGCCTCCACTTCCCTGCTCTGCAGCCGCTCTCTAGCAGGGACAAGACACATATCTGCATCCTCTGTGTGTTTAAGTGAATGTTTCTGGTAGGATTAGAGGGGGGTCAGGGTCCATTTCTATATTTAAGAGTAAGTGAGATGACACTGGGATCCCCTGTCCAAAGGTGCAAAGAAAATACTGGATGAGAGGACAGAGAGAGGAAAATGCTGCAGGGTGAGGTCAAGTTTTTGTTCAAGTTTATTTCTGAGATTTCAACGAACATCTGTTGCAACATTATTCGTCAAGTCAGGAAATTCATCTAAAAGGAACTAAGCGGTTTAAAGAGCACAGACACACACACATGCTCACACATAAGGAGCGAGTCGCAGCCCAGTCTGCTTAGGGTCTGTGCTTAAGCAGACATGGAAAATTACAGGAAGAGTAGACTTGTGGTTTAAATCCTGAGTTTCGCGTTGAAGAAGCGAGACTAAAAATAAAAGAAGAGAGATGGATACCTACTAGTTTTAACAGCCATCTTCGAGAAACTCTGGAAAGTTTGAGTTTAAAAAGCAAAATTAAATTAACTTTAGATTAACTAAAGCAAACTGATCTAGATTCAATCAATATCTAGAATCTAGATTCAAGCAAAAGCTAATTTCATTGATTGTAAATATTGTTTACCAAAGTTGTTAATACAGCTAACTAAAAAGTAGTTAAATAAGTGACATGTTGATTCTAAAAGCCCATAATCAATTACAGAATCCCTGATTTTGTGGCCATGAGTAAACTTTAAAGAATATGAGCATTAGAATGGGCTCAGGAAGCAGCCATTTATAGCCTGGAATAGAAGTCCAGACTTTCATTTAGCCATTTAACAACCTCTTTGGACCAATGCTGTGTTGGAAGATGATTGTCACCTTAAAACAGGAACATAACACTTCGATTCGATTTTTTTTCCTAGTTGGACCACAAAGTAAGATTGATTACTGACAGTAAAAACTGGAAATGACCCCGGAAAAGGTGTCTTAAATACATTAACGGTTTACCCAACAGAATTACGCTCGATGTAATTCAGTCTGGTTGGACGGGGAAAGCATATCATACTAAGCTAATCAACAAGTAACTGATGTTGTAACCAGTGTAACATCCCTCATTAGTTAGTTCATGGTGAGAATAAATACAATTCATGTCCATATAGGGTTTGTAGGCTACTCACCATGGCTACCATATATTTAAACAAAAGCTTTATTCACAAACGAGCAGAGTCAGGAAGATTAGAAGCCAGAAGCAGAGGACAATGATGCAGGGTCTTCATAGGGAGAAGATTTTATAAAAGATATTAATCTGCAAGTGGAAACATGTATAAAACAAGGTTTTATACATATTTCAGAATAACCATCACTCACAGTGTTGTTCTGTGTTATATTCACAATGATAAATTTAATAACCAAAAAACAGAAAAATTCCTCAATAACTCAAGAATGAAAAGTGCAGTAACATGTTTTGGTGCTTCACCGAGGTGAGATCAGTGCTACAGATCTCTAGAGGTTATGGAAGTCTTCTTTATTACTCTGATAGAGGATTATGTAGAGAAATCAGCCCATTACAGAAACATTTCAATATTTTTCTTGCAGTTTTTAATCATATAGTTGCCTCTCTTACACAAACACTACAATCAAAGTTACTTAAATATAGAGGACTGAGAACAAAGAGGCTTATTTTCTGTTTTTATGATAACTTATTCCATTTTGCTTGTAATATTGTTTCTGCTTTGGTCCAAATAATATAAAATAATATAATCATGGCTGGACTGCAGCAAATACTAACATGAATTTTCAAAGATGTATTCTATTAAACATTTTACCAATTAAATATTCTATAATTTGTCACGTTTTGGTTGTGGTTTAGAGGACCCAAATGCAGAGGCAGAGAGGCTGAGGTGTATTCTTGTAGTTTTTAATTATGAAAATGGTTAACAAAGGTAGGAATCATAAAATCCAACAAAAAATGTAACAGACCAGAACCATGGAGACATCAAGGGAAAAACACGCACAAGGAGCCAGGGAGAGACGAGGGGAGAGGACAACGGCTACGACAGGACCAGCAACAACAAGGAACCAACAAGGAGTGACTGCAGAGGAAGAGTATATGTAGCTGACAGAGACAATGGCAGGGCTAACGAGCTGACAAGGAGCAGGTGTGAGGAGACAACGAGGGAGCCAAGGGGAAAGGAACACAAACAAGAGGGCAACAGAGGAAAACAGAAAAACTAGAGAACTAGCATAAATTTAGAAACTACAACAAAATAGGAATTAAACCAATAAAACTAGAAAACAAGGAGCAAAGTAAAGCACAACATAACCAAAACCATGACAAAATTTATATTTATTTATATAAATTATTTCACTTTGATTTGCCTCCTTAAAGGTAGCAGCTATACGGTAAGTCTTGCCTTTTTTCTTTATCCTGATTGTTTCACATCCACTACATTTCACTAAAATGAAGGTTTATTTAGTGTTGTGTCACTTTCCCCATTAAATTAAAGTATGTGGCTCATCATCCTGTTACCTTGTCACTTCCGTTTCTTGTGGCAAGTCATAATTTGCTCACAGGGGTGTTTCATTATCAAGCATTTTATATTCAAGTTTGTTATTTGGCACTTAACCTGTAGATGTAAAGGGATAATTGTGACAACTCATCAGTTTGGTACCTAAAACTATAGATTTTGTTCAATTAAATAACTAAAGTCAATGGTTTGAAGTTGCACTTTGGCACACACCTTTAATCCAGTGTTTCAATCAGAGAAATGACTAAACTCGGTTGAAGTGGAGGTAAAGAAAAAATGTTTATAGAAAGTTGAAAGCCTGCTTTAAATGACAGCAGCATAGAAACACCTCATTCATCTCACCACTGAACAATCTACTTACTGATATGTTTAATGTTAGCATTAAGTGAGGCAACCAGGCTCATTTCCTCTGTTTATTATTGCACATAGTGGTTACACAAAGAGAGCAATCTTACACATTTCCTTTCAGAAGAGGGAGCAAATAAGAGAAAGAGGAAGCCTCCCTGTGTGGGAATGAAAAAGACAAACACCCAAAGTGACAGGAGTGCCGTGGGTCATGTGGAAATCCAACATAATGGGTCTGATAGTAACTTGATGTTGTACGTTAAAGCAGGGTTAAGAAATATTGATGAGCATAAGCTTTAAAGATGCATCCTGAGAATAAAAGCACACATTCAAGCAAAGTAAGGCATTAAGAAATATACTTTATATGATTATATAAATATGGTCACACTGTGTTCTTTACATGTTACTGGAGAGAGAGAATATAACAAAATAGAATAAGTAAGATCTATGACACTGAAGGTGTAAAAGAAAACCATTTTTATTCTGCTGAACCTTCAGTTAGACGAAAAAGCAAACAGTTATTTGTCTGCAGGAAAATCGGTCAGAGAGGTGCATCAGCAAAGAGATGTGCTTTGCCTCTTTCTAAAAACCTGAGTTGAAAAAACCAACTCCCAAAAACCAGGAATACCTGACAAAGACAAGTGGCACCGGATCATTGAGAATATTTCTTCCTAGAAGCCATCCTGCGAGAGATAAAAACCCAACAAAACGTCACTTCAGGATCTCGGAGCTTCACAATGACTCGATTATACGTCTCCTCAGTCAGTGCTGAAGTTCCAAAAATTCAAGTCAGTGACCTGAGTCTAGCTATGGACAAATGGCACAAAGGGACAGTACACCTCTGATGATTGTGTATGCAGACACAGAGAAAGTCTGGAGGCCTGTAGCAGTTAGAGTATAGGTCAGGCACACCGCTCGTGATTCTCCGCAGCTCTGTCTGTGTAGTTCTGACCAAGTTAAAGCCTTGGTCTATCTTGGTCTGGAGTGGAGCGATATGATAGGAAAGTTGTGAGCCTGACTGGAAGAGAGACATGTTGGCAATTTAAAACATGCCCACTTTATGGAAAATACAAAGTAAAATATCTGAACTGCACGTCAAACCAGCCAGATTCAGTGTGATTAAAGGTTCACCCAGAACCATAAATCTTGGTGCATAGCAAGCTGCGCAGACATGTAAATAAACAATCAATAACAGAATTGAAACAAAAACATCTTGATAGAGAAACAACAGCGATTTACCTTTACCGCCCGCCCTGTTTATGCTAGTGGACCAAATTTAATAAAAGCCAAGTGAACAAAACCTTTACTTCCAGAAAACAGCTCATGTTTGGATTATATGTGTGTTCTTTCATCCTTCATGATGGCACTTAAAAGCTGAGACATCTGATATTTGTAGGATACAATATTATATGTCAACCAGCACTGTCGACACGGTGCATAACAAAAAGGGAAGAGAAAGAAATTGGATAAATTACCCAGCTATTAAATCTGCTCTTATCATCCCTCAGTCCTGAGGAGTATTCCTTAAATACCAATCAAGCATCATGATATATGGTGAGTTCAAAATACAGGCTCAGGCACCATGGTATGGGACACACTATAAACCTCAAACAATCTAGTTTTAAGCAGCAGCTTTGTTTCAACAAGATTAGAATCCAGCCTTATTTTCTACACCTTCAAACCTGTTTGCAGATATTGAATCTGCTTTTTCAAAAAGATGCAAAGGAAACTGCAAAGTTACATCCAATCATCCTGGGCTGGAAGACTGGCTTACAGGTACCAGAGGATGATCAACATGGCTACGTAGAAGGCTGTTCTCAGCAAAATCTAACGAGCAGGTCAGTGATTTAAAGGGAAGCTTTAGACCACTGAACTAAACAAGCATTTCAAGTATTTCTACACAAAATGTTGATATATTCCTTTTTTAATAGGCTAGTATTTATTTTCTGTACCTTTAATAAACAGTCCTCCAGGAGCATTCTGCATGTATGGAAATGTAATTATTTGTAGGTTTCTGAACCTTTAACCCCCTTGTTTTGAACACAGACATGTTGATGGGAAAAATCTAGGAAAAATTAATGCTATAAACCCAGGAAAAGTATGGGCAAAACCAAAAAAAAGAACAAAAATAGCAACATCTGTGGACTGAA